ATAATAATAATAATAATAATAATAATAATAATAATAATAACACAATAAATGGAAAATTAAAAGTTGAAGCAAAAACCGATAATTTTTGTAGTACTTACATACGTCTAAGACATTCTTGATCAGGATGTTTGTTGTGTTCTTTGATCTAATTGAACCGGCCTCTAAGAAAGCAAACCCTGCCTGCATATCTGCAAGAAAAAGATGCTGCCTAAGTCATTATTTCAAATTAAGTTAGACTACGTTTAGGCAAAATTAAAGATCATTAGCTAAACTTTGTGTAATAAGGAATTACTCTTCACGCATTTAATCTGAGCTAGTAGTAGTAACAATCTTTAATTAGGAAGCTCCATCACTAAAAGTGGTTTACATAGAGGTCCTAATTTGAAGAGTTAAAAGCTGCGATTAACACTTTTTCTGATCAACAAATTAACCAGTTTTAAATTTGAAGTTTTTTGAACTAAAAGTGCAACACTCGCAGTCACGTGTTATTGTCCTAGAGATGTAGAACGATATCTGCGCCCGCAAAACAGCGGAATTGCGATGGGAGGTTTAACAGATGATCCACCAACCCTAATTTGCATAATCTGATCCAGCACTACAACCCGTAAATTGCTCATGTAATCACGGGTTAAAAGTAACCAGTCATTCTGAGGTTTTAGTTCCATCCGATATAACAGCCCCCTAAGAACTTGACGTTTCACAACGTTTCAGCTTGACAGGGTTCTTCGTTTTTTAGTAGAGCACGTTTGAATTTCCAAGCTTTTGCGTTGCGTGGCTTTAAAATGGCGGCCCGAGGAGGCTGTCGCGTAGGTCAAAAGATGAGTTATCTCTTATGTCTTTGCTTACTGAACAGTTCTTGCACTAGAAAAAGTATCAATTTCAATGTTTCGGAGCTCTAGAGTTACAACGTTTCGTTTCAATAGCAAACGTTTGGTGCCCATCAAGATGGGCAGCAACATGGCGTCTCCGTACAAAGCATTGTAAATTTGGGTGAAACATTTTACCGAATAACGCGCCAATTAAAAGCTGCACAGGCCTAAATCTTGGCGAGGTTGTTTTTTTATGTCAATCATCTATCATATCCCAGATCCGAGACTTAATTTATTGAATGGCTACGATTTCTATTTTTCACGGCATGACAGTGAAAATCGGCCAGCGATACGCACATGAAACATACACACTGATTGCTCTATCAATTTTCTGTCCGTTCATATTCTGTTCGAGGAAAAGCTGTAGCTTACTGCCAAAGGAGTGAACGGCAGGGGTAAGGACCTGTGTGACTACTGTAATGAGGCCGTACAGTGCACTCTACCCTATCTGGGATTGCCTCACTAGTCGTGTTGTTTCTGCTAAGCTTTTGAAAACTTCTAGCCCTTTCGCGGTCTTCACCTCTGTTATTTTTCAGTCCTAAAAATACTGTAGTATAGTTGATAAGACGAATAGGAAATCGAAAAATTTCAGTTTATAGAGGACAAAAGTCTTGTATCAGAATAACGTTGAGTGTATTAAAATTCTTCCCGCAGTTTCTAAAAGCAAAAGATATAAATAATTGCCTGAAATAACCCCCAAAACAATTTCCCATAGCAACTCGAGAAAGTAAATTTCAAAGTTCAGAGAAATTGTGCAAACACGCTGTATCTAGATTTACATTTATTCTCGATAAAGCTTTTTCTAGAACATACCTAGCATTTTCAGCAGCTTTTTAAGAGCGGATGTTCCCAATGGTGAAACATATCGCGGCAACAGCCAAAAAATAAATCCCGCTCATATTCTCAGGTTTGGTAGGCCTTAGTGTGAAACAAATCACGGCATGCTTCGTTTGGCTGAATATCGATTTATTTTCGAGAAAATCGATAATAACCGAATTCCGTCAAAATGCCGCTTTTGGAGCTCAAAATTTAAGACGAATCTCCAAGCTTCGCGTCACAAAATGAAACAACCTAGAGCGATAAAAACTATCAAATCTTGAAAACATATGTTGACAGCAATTTGTGCAATTTTTGTCTATTTATTTCCAAAATCTAATTAAATGTATCCG